ATAGATAGATAGATAGATGGGACAACCTGGGAGTCAATTTTAATAGATTCATGTCATTGAGAGAGGAAGTGTGAGAGCGTGTCTAAACACATTATCACTTATCAAACCTCGGTCCCATGCAGCACGGGGCGGTGGGACACTCGACCCCCTGGCAGCCGTGTTGTTGGAATTACCTTCACATGACAAATCAAGAGCCTATCTGGAGAAATAATCAGGTCCCCGCTGCTCTCGGCGTGGAAAAAACCCTTATTAGAGAACAACACTGTCACTGTTAATTACCGCAGTGGCCTTTTGTGCGCTGGCAGAGACTGTATAACGCTACAAACCGACAAAATCAACACTTTCTCGACTGGTAAACGATTTACATTTAGTTTGTATGGCTTAGTGAGAAGTTTGGCACCTTTTGTTATTTTTTTGTTGACTCTGTGCAGCTGCGAGACGTGTTATGTAATATTTCAAATGCTCATCCATCAACCTGCAAGATGTCTTGTTTTTTGTTTTATTTTTTGGCACAGTTTAAGGTAGAATATTTAAGACTGTATGTGGGGTAAAATGGGATTTTGTTGATAGCAGTCGTATTAGACAACATCAGTGGGATTACATGCACTAGACAGCTGACACAAGATTGATTACAAGGCAGGGCTGCATGGTAGATAAAACTAGGTAAACTATGACCTCCAGTCGTTGATCAGAGGGCAAAATAATAAACAAGAAGACGCTATATTTTTAGAGAAAACATAAATGTTTATTTCATGTCATCAAAATACCCTTAAAATACCCTAGAAGCAGACAGTAGTCCTGCACACACATTTTCTTATATCTGAAAGATTCACTCCACACACACATGTTTAAAGACACATTAAAGTACTCTGCTTTGAATAATGTTTACACACACACACAATAACCAGTTTTCTTCACAGAACAGTTCAGTTATTCACATCATATGTGTGCATATTGGACCATAACTGGCTTCAAAAACAGATTGGATGTCACAAAATCATTTAAGGAAAGCAAAAATATACTTTCACCCTTCAGAACCTGAATGTGAACCCAGCCTTCATCAGCCTGCACAGTGAAGGTCAAACATCCAAATTAAGTAACAAAAAGCAAAAAACACAATATTAAGTTTAAATTCTTCTTCTTATTATCCTTTAAAAGATTTAATTAAAATGAAATACAGATGCAGCACAACTTCCACACAATTCGTTTTCAGAGCTTATTTAACGTTTTAAAAGTTACTTATAATTACATATTAACAACAGGCTTATTACACTGGACGCACGAGATGCACATTTAATTCCGATGGCCCACTGATGTAGTCCCACTTTAAAGTACTTGTATCACAACAACCGCTCCTGTCAGTCAAACGCATCCCTAATCGGCCGACGTCCAATCAGAACGCGCCTTACTTTTTTAACAGACTTTTGGGGCCAATCACGATCGACCCTTCTTTTTTCACCTCTCCCGCTGAGGGGAGGGGATATGACCTTATTTGGCAGTAATGACCTTATATGGAGCGCCGCCAGGGGGGCCAGCAGTACTCGGCAGTCTGTTAGTGACACTTTCCCCCAAATTGTAGCTTTGACTCTCAGAGGTGGGACAGGCAGTCGAAGGGTGAAGCGACACACTCGAGCGGCGAAGACTGTTCTGCTATCTCTGTTTAATCTCCCCTGCGCTGACGACCACGGAGGATATTAGGCTGTGTGTTGGGTAAATAAATATCGCACACTGACGTCGCTATCCGAAACCTCGCCGCGGTGCGCAAGAACAAGAGGAACGAGGATCGCCGACTGCTAGGGACTGCGCGTTACGCTGTTTCCAAGAGCTTTGCTGGGACTAAACAAACCATCCACCGAATGACTTGAGATGTGGTCAGTATTGAACAAAGCTTGACGTTCAAGAGGCAGAATTTATCCTGAGTGAGTCTCGGTGCCGTGTTCAGCGGGTGGATAGACAGGAGCGAGCGGCTGTGAGGCGAAATACTGTGGTGTTGTTATATTCCGTGTCATTTGCCCTCTTCCAAATAACGTAATATTTTTTTTGAACGTTGTATTTTCGCTGCCTGCACGCCGACTTGCCGGACTGACTTTTCCAAGAGGTTACACTCTGAGGAGCAACGTGTTTATGGATTGCTGCGCAGCGAGGAACACCGGGAGTTGTAGGCTACGCGCTTATGCATCGATCATGTTGATACCTCGCTGTTGCTGTAAACTTTGATAGATGTTTACAGAAAGAACTCAGTAATATAGAACAACGTTTTGATTAAATAAGCTCAGACAAGCTCAGACTGACCTCTGGAGGAAGTGGGAAGCGCCTCTTCGCCCTCCCTCGGTTTTTCTCCCAAGACGTCAAGACGGATCTGTATCACTGAGTCTGACTCTCCTTCTGCGATTTAAACAAAGACCAAAGTGTTTGGGGATAGCATGGCAATGGTAGTAAACCAGTGGCCAGAGAACATTTCGGCAGATCCGGGGTCTCAGCTCCAGATTTGCGGCCAGGAGCCCGGCGGGGCACCGGGGACTCCCAACGGTTCCACCCCAGGGAACGACGCACTTTCCGGGGACAAGATCCCCAACGTGGACTGCATGGTGTGCGGGGACAAGTCCAGTGGGAAGCATTACGGTCAGTTCACCTGCGAGGGATGCAAAAGCTTCTTTAAGCGCTCAGTGAGGCGGAACCTCTCGTACACCTGCCGGGGGAACCGAGACTGTCCCATCGACCAGCACCACCGGAACCAGTGTCAGTACTGCCGCCTGAAGAAGTGCCTCAAAGTCGGCATGAGGAGAGAAGGTAAGGCCAGAGAGCTGTGATCCGTAGGTGTGTGTGATGGTTGTCAGTGTGTGGTTGTGACACAGTTGTTTACTAAACGTTTGTCTGTGCGTAACGTTGTGCGTAATGTTGTTCACTGTAAAATATCAATCTTAACAGGCCATTAAGTCTGGAACTCAGCCGTAAAAGATTTTACTGTTTTAAAACAAGTGACTAACTCTTCACATTGGCTGGGGCGCTTGTTTCCAGCAGTTCCTCTTATTTTATTGCTTTTTTTTTTAGAAACTATATCTTTGCAACACATTATAAAAGGTCAGATCTACTTTTTAGAAAGGAAACGTTTAACAAAATATACTTGGAAACAGTTATTTTTCCACATTGACAGATTTTCTCCTGAAAATAATACTTAAAAAAAAAACCCAAATAACACTCCTATAGTTCTTGCAATATGTCATCTCACATGACAAACTAAAATAGGACCAGTGAGAGATTTTGTGCCTAAAATATGCCTAATGTTTCGTGATGCCTGTTGATCTAATGTTCTATACAGTTTACACCAAAGCCTCTGTTGTTATGGGTAAATAATCAGTCACCACCTGCGGCACCACAATGCTTATTTCACATTCATTTACCAAATCTAAACCATTCACCCTGGTGCGCTCTGTTATGTGAAATCCCTCCTTTGTCCCACCCTGTTTTAATTATGCTGTTTGTTCACCGACACCCCGAGCTGACCATAAGAGGATGCCGCTACATTTGTTGTATTGTGTGTGATTAACAACAGGTCAGTTAGTGCCAAAGAGGAGCGGTAGAAACGTGTTGGTGAAGAAGAGCGCATCCCCTATTAATTATCATGCAGCAGATAGATCCCATTCATGAGCGATGTGATTGGTGCATATTTTAAAATGTGAACCAAAAGGGGCCCAAAGTTCTTCGCCTGAACATCTGTGTCGGCAGCGTTACTCATAGGTTAATTTCTTTGTGTTTATGCACGTTGGATACGATCACTGAACTCCAGCCATCAATTCATCATTTAGAGAACCGTCTGATTTAGTTTTATGGTCGAAAGGCAGAGAAAGACTGTAGAAACATTAGGTTTTATGTATAAAATCTTTGGGGAATGAATGAAAATGCCAACAGCGACGTGTACAGCGTAAACTATCACACCTGGACGCAGGTGAGCCACTGGGAATGGGGGTTTGATTGCCTTCTGACTCCCAAAAGTGCGTTTCCCACTTATGACCCGAGCTACCTCAAAAAGTCTGAGTCTGTAATGAAGATGTCACACTTCGCCCCTTTTATTTTCCCTCTCAGAGGACAGAATAGGGTCAACAGCAGCATCCCCCGTGAGCAATCTTGCTCAAGGACACTTCGGCAGGGGATGTTGAAGGGCAGTCAGTGTCTCCACAACGACCCCACCGCCCTTTGTTCTCCGCCTGAGCCAAAATGTAAATACACAGACGGTGGAAATACCCATCCTCCTTAGAGCCTGAGATGATCCCTCAAGGGTTCCCGCTAGTGCGCTGCTATGCCTCTCTGACTGTGTGTGTGTGTGTGTGTGTGTGTGAGAGAGGGAGTGTGTGTGCACTTTACACACAGTCTTACCTCATGTAAAATACCCGCAAGCCACATGGACTCGGTCTTGCTCCTTTCCGACTGAATGAACCCGAGGAAATCGCCTGACGCGCCGCAGCGTGTTTTTACTGCAAAAAATATCCATCTGACTCTGATAATGAGACTTAAAACTAACCTTAATGTTTTAACATCCAAACAGGTCAAAACGTGTTTGTAGAGGAGAGGTTTATTCCCTTTGTTTCTATGAAAATCAGCTCATCTCATCTGTCTTATTTGGAGATACATTCACATTCGGTGAAAAGTTATTTTGCTAAATTTATTTCACTTTCTTTTGAAGGGAAAGTGACATTTTTTGCAGTGCCGACCCCACAGCGTTGAGAGCTGCATATTGTTCATGAGACATGAGAATGGCGTGAAAAGGGATTAGTCTGGCTATTTAGATGAGATAACATAATGAGGATGTGCTTATAGGCTGTAGATTAGTTTACAAGTATTCATCTTAAAGAGTAAATCAATCTCTTTTTAATTAATAAGTAAAAAAAAAAAAACATCAGTCCATTTGGCGGAAATCGTTTCAGTCAATTCAATTTCAGATTCCAAAATTCCCCTAAAAGTGGCGTAGCACGTCGAAATAAAAGGAGATAATGTCATCTAACTCAAGGATAAATAAGTTGAAAAGAGTTTAAGATTTCAAAGTAATTGTCTGTTGACTTCTCAATAGAGAAAATGTTTTGCAGTGCTGGCTTATAGTTGTGCGCAAAAGGCTCGGAGCAGGTCAATTTACATTGGCTGAGCTCATCTTGTTGGTGCGTTTGAGGTCAGCAGGATTAAACGGTGTCCTTAAATCCTCTTTGTCGGCTGACTTCTGTTTACCAGATCATTTGTCTACACTGTTCAGCAACTTCTACGACATTTCGGAAAAGTAGAGAATAAAAAAAAAACAGTATGAATTGTGATAAATCGTTAAATAGTGTGAAATGAGCGGGTGAGAAAGGTAGTGATCATAATAAATTATAAATCATTTGCACTTTAAATTCTAAGTTAAATTCTACGAGGCAGAAATAACAACAAAGAAATACTTGAATATTTGTTTTAACATAAATATTATATATACATACGAATGTTAAAAACAAAAAGTCCTGGCATCATTATTTTATTGTAACATCTACAGTAAATTAAACACTGAATGCAAAGATTGAGGGTGTCAACTGAAAAGTGGCAGGACTGTTAAAGCACACAGCCGCTATCTTCCTCCCCAGAGGTCATACATAAGTCATGTTTTACTCTACATTATTCAACAGGTTCACCTAAGGTTGTCAAGGGGACGCATTTTCTCAGTTATGATCCAGGTAAAATATGCATCTGATATTTCCCTTTCTATTTTCAACAATATCCAAAAGTTACTGAGAAGTCACTGTCAAAATAAAGCAGCAGATCTGGAAGATTCACAAGTGAAAATGCTGTTTGTTGAGCTAAAATAGTTTGGCATGCTATTAATTATTTAGAAACCTTTTTTACTTACTTTGAAATGTACTCCATCATAGCATATAGGTCATAATGCACTTCCCATCTCAACAAAGTGAGAAGTAAGTTTAAGGCAACGTGCTGCTGGAGTTGTTATAATAATTAGCAAGTGTTCACGAATTATGTAAGTTAGGCCACGTAAAGATATTTTTTTAGCAGAACCCTGTTAGTGATTAACTCAGTGTGCATCTTCTGTAACTCATACAGAAAACCAGCAAGTGTTTCAATGCTAAAAATTACAGCATCGTTTAATATCACTAACACTGCTGCGTGACTTTTCTGACTAAATTAATATTTAGCTTCCTGTGAAGACATGCTAAAAGTTTCATGAGTGGACTGCGTCACATTTAGAACTTCCTTCAAGTGAGTGTTTCTTTTTTTTTTTTTTTCCCCAAAGGGGACGTTTGACCTCTTTCTGCAGACTGCTGTGTAGAACATCGTATCATTTGTTGGAGACTTTTATCTAGAGCACCTTTCAGCACCATGACAGCAAACATTTCTGTGCTGGCCTCAGTGGGAGTCAAACCCCTAAAACCTTGGCAGCGTTAGTGTCATTGTCTCACCACGCAGCTCCACAGAACCTCCACTTGTTTCTCTGTCAGCGCACTCTCTGGGCTGAATAGGAAGCAGGCAGGCAAGAAGAATCAGCCTGACAGCTCCTTTGAACTGGAGTGAATGTTTTAATTTTGAAACAACCCACAAGGACGAGCTACTGTCTCCACTGAGAACCAATATACACGTTTGGGTATAGTTTACTGTGCTGTACACAATGATAATGTCTCCTGTGTAGGTCTTGAATCGTATACCTGGGCAGCTATGAGCTCACCATAAACATGCAGACAGTAGAGAGAGAGAGCAGAGTGATAGCAACATCCATTTGTAGCACATGGATCTGTAATTCCCACATTCAACACGCGTAGTGGGAAGGCTGCTGCCTCCTCTGACCCATATTGCTCTCTGACAAAATACCAACAGCAGCAGAAAATATAGGTCAACCAAAACTAAAACATTAATAACAGACAGGCTCAAGTCAAAGTCCAAATGTGTGAACCGACTAGGGCCTCTCCAGTGAGTAAATACCCCACTGGTGCACTAAAGTGTAACAGACAGCGGGTATTGACTAATCCATACTTCACAGTGGGCTTGTAACAGCGAGCAATTTAACACCAAAACACAACAGTCTGGCCTCCTTTGGGTCTGAAAAACCTTTACTTATCCCAGTAATTTAGCTATTGACAAATTCAAATACTTAACCCCTGTCACCACAGTCGTAGGCTAAGTCATTATCAGAGGGCTCTCAGAGGAAAATGGCTTCCATTGACATATCGTTCAGTACTGCCCAGTCTCCATTAAAGCACTTCAAGGCTAACTCTAATATTACTAAAGGCATGTGGGTGAATAGATGAATGATGGTGTTTTTTAATGCTTTTGGACACATCAAGGTGAGCAGGCTTCAATGACCTCATCCATATAAAGGTTATGCTTTTTTTTCTGCACATCCCACAGTATCACTAATGTGACAAAAGTAAACGTAACGTGACCTTCTCAGGTGTATTCAGTCAATCACTCTAACATACTGACTGACTCTGGACTGTTTGTGACTTAAGTAGCTCAACCTGTTTTTGTGTGTCACTCAGGTCACTTGTAATAACACACTGTGGAGAGAGAGGCACAGAATTTGTCAGTTACTGTCAGTAACATTTAACCCCCAACAAGGTTTCTCCTTCAGTCTGGCACACATTCTGTATTATAGCACTGTGGAGAATATGTGCACATTTATATTTTAGGCATTTAGTTGACGATCTTATCTATGCTGTCTGAGTGGTAGTGCAGTGGTAGTAATGCCAATAAGAAGCCGAAGAAACCAGAATGCACAGCTGCAACAAACATTTCCACATTTGTCTATCAACAGAATTTTATTG